CTAAATCAGGAAGAGTAATCGTATGCAACAGAAAGAGAAATACAATGCATACCTCTGAGAGGATCCGCAAAAAGGTACCGCTGCACAACAATACACCATATTTCGTAGAATTTCCAAAATCTATTTTGTCTCCCACAATGGTAATAACAAATTTAAACAGTGTTCAACATGGGGATATTTCATGGCAGGATATATTGGCGGCACTGAATGGATGGAAGAGCTATACCGACAAGGCGGTTGAGAGCTGTTAACGCTAGATAATTATAGAAGGATTTGGATAGTTGTGTTTAAACATAATGGAATCGTGGTTTATTTCTCTCCGAAATACTTATTGCAATTATAGTCAATAATTTTATACTTCAGTTCGTGTCTTTATTACAAAGATAGAAGTGAAAACGTTTGTTCTCCAGTGTGTATAGAATTTAGGTTAAGTGTAACATGTCGGATAGAGATATTCTCAGGTAAAGAACATTTTAAGAGGTGACATGAAACAGAGATTACAATAATGTTGGAGCATGTCCAGAGACTGTGTGAACATGGGCACTATACAGTATTATGAATACGTACAACGAAGCTTATGCAATTAAAATTGTAAAAAATCGTCTTTCAAAGGTTTTGCCAGGCTAACATGGCTATCATCAATGCTCTGCTGCTGTTTCTAATCTTAAGAACTTATTTTGCCATAGCAGTGAATTAAACTTTGGAAAAAATACCAGGAGACAGTGCCTGTGTGTTGAGCAAGACAAGATAACAAAGCCACTTCCATAACCTGGGTCTCAATGTGCACCTTGGTCTGTTGTATGCTTCCTATACTAAGTAAAATACAAGGTAAAATTTTGCACAACCAGACAAGAGAGGTAGTGATTAGTTACAGTTCTAGTGGTGCAACAGCAGAAATCCTCCAGCCAGGGTAGTTCAGTCCATATAGTGACTGACTACGGATTAGACGAACAGGGTTTGATCCCCAGCAAGGGCAGAGGATATTTCCTGTAGCCTCTTTGTCTAGACTGTCTCTGGGGCCTACCCACCTCCTGTCTATTGGGTACTGGGGTCATTTCCTGGGGTAATGTGCAGCCAGGACATGATGCTGACCATTCTTCCCGTCTAGTGCTGAACTTAAGAATGGGGAGGAGCTATTCTGCTTCTTCCCCCAAGTGCCTACTTGGCATGTAATTGGACAGCATTATTTTAATAGTAAAAATTATGTGAGTTACTGCATTTAATTTAGTTATAATTAATGGTTAATATTCATTACCAGTTCTGTAGTAATGCTGTCACTATGTCCCTTCTGCTCCAGATATCTTTGCTCATGGCCTTGCATTTCCCATCATTCTTCTCTTTGCTTAAATCTGGCTGTGAACATGCTTTTGGTGAGCGCATTTGTTCTGATGCAATATACATCTGGCACTGAAGATCTTCCTTGTATTTACGAAAACATAAATTTTCCCTGCTGTGTCATGGTTTACTGGTTAATATTGTCTCTGGTAATTACAGGAAATTTTAGGTGTGCAGTTTAAATTTGTGGTCATTTACTTGTTGACAGAAGTGACTCTGAGGCTTCAGCCAAACAAGCAGTTCAGAGTGTTGTTTCAGAAGATCAGAAATCAGATTTTAAAGCTACTGAAATGCAATCAGAAGGTTCCAAAATAGTAGTGCTTGATGACAAGAAGCAAATTAGCAGCAGCAACAACAACAACAACAATAGTAACATTAACAATGGGGCATCAAAACATCAAGTTGAAAGAGAAGGCAATTGTTACTGGTAAGCTGTTGAATGTTTGTTGTTTTGGAAAACCTGGATACACCACTTTGAGCCAGAGACAAAAAGGCAGTCAATGGAGTGGCATCATCCTCAATCACCGAGAAAGAAGAAATTCAAGTCAATTCCCTCCGCCGGAAAAGTCATGATGACTGTCTTTTGGGACAGTGATGGGGTCATTCTTGTGGATGTGATGCCAAGAGGTGCGACCATCAATTCAGACGCGTACATCAGGACCCTGAAAACCCTCAAGAAGCGTTTTCGACGAGTTTGGCCTCACAAGCATCCAGCAGAAATTTTGCTCCTGCACGACAATGCACGCCCTCACACAAGTCCGAGAACCCGGGAAGAAATCACCAAATTGGGTTGGACGGTGCTACCCCATCCACCCTACAGTCCAGATCTGGCACCCTCCGACTTCCATCTCTTTGGGCCACTTAAAGATGCTATCCGCGGAACAAGATTTGAAGATGACGAGAGCGTGATTCAAGCAGTGAGGACATGGCTACGTGCACAGGACAAGAGCTGGTACCGGCAAGGCATGCACGCACTTGTTCCACGATGGCGTAAAGCCGTACAAGTTGATGGGGACTATGTGGAAAAATAGTATGTGTAAGGGAAACATTGATTTATATTGTCACTAAATTTCAGCCATCTTGAATAAATATATTCTGAGGAAAAAAATGTGGGGCATTACTTAATGAGCGACTCTCGTATTTTATTTGTAAGAGGTTCTACTGGTACTGAAGTGTTTTATTTCAGAATCTTCACTTTATTATCTTCATATTTTATTCTTAGTTATTCAAACACTTAAATGAGAAGGCAGTCTTAATATTGGTGGAGTCCTTTGACAAAGAAGTATGTTTCTCTTGAGTTAACTATTTGCTGGCAATTTTACATGTGTGTTACAGCTTGAGGTATGTTGAACGTATTAATATAATTTCCAAAATGTGTCCATGTTATGGCATGTCTAATGGTAAGACTACTCTGTTGCTTGTATAGAAACGGCATTGCAACGTGTAGTGGTGTAATTGTGGGTGGTCCAGGTACATTACAGATCATGTGTAGCAAATGTGCAGTCATATTTGGAAACAGACCTATGTCATTGTGCTCTAGATGTAGTATTATATAAACAGACATAAGTAACTTATGTGAACAGTTTATTGCAAGGTCGTTACTTTTTTCATACATCTGAAGCTTTCAGTATGCCTATATCTTCAGCAGTTTTATTCACAATCAGAATTAATATATTTTTCTCAAATTATAGTTTTAGTAACTAAACACTTTCTAAACAGTTTGTTCTCTTCTTTTAATATTATCTTGATCTCTTGCCATTTATTATGGCAAGATGAGTAACATAAACATAAAATTCACTCTGCTGTCTTCAAATTTGGGGAAATTAAAGTGAAAAATAATTGCCCGTGTTGGATCAAGATTGTTGGATAATGCTGTATTCTTGTTGAACACATTATTTGTTATGATAACGATTGTTTCTTGTTTACATACAGTGGCAAGGATCGTAACTTGAACATTGTAGAACTTCTGTGTGCCAGCTGTTTTCGCTGGTACCATGAATCCTGCATTGGCTATCAGCTGGGAAAATTGGTTCCATTTATGATGAATTATTTTTTTGTTTGCAAAAATTGTTCGCCTACTGGCCTCGAAAGCTTCAAAAAGAATCAAGCACGTGAGTATAAATACTTTAATATACTGTATAAAGCTTCCTAAACCAAGCTTTTCATGTAACAAAGAAAACCTCGGGTTGTGCCAAGATACTACACAATGCATTAATATACACTGCTGTTTTGAAGAATGACATTTTTGGCCTTGTAAATTACTCTTCATAGTCCTTGGTCACCCATTTGTCATTTATTTGACATTTTGATGTTTGGTGCTGTTTAAGGAATTAGTGGCCACGTGGTCTGAGGCATGGACCTCGTGCGCCTGGCCGCTGGGACCGTGGGTTCGAGTCCCACTCGAGGCATGGATGTTTGTCTGCGTCCTTTCTCTTCCAGTCTGATGGATAAAGACTGGCCACGGAAGGCAAGTTGAAACGACCGTGGCATCTTCGCAAGTAACAGTCCCGTAATGGGGCTGCAAACCAATCCTAGGATTGATGACGACGACAAAGAGAGAGAGAGAATCTTATTGTCATTCATGCAAGACAGATGTCCATACTGTTGTATGTTTAATTTGACTATTTTCTTTTGTCAAGTGTTTAGTTTGTTGTTTATTGTAGTTCTTTATTTTGTTCACAGCATTCCCCCAAATGTGTGTAACAGCGATTGGAAACTTGATGCAAGCCAGTGTAAAAGAAGGCTCGCCACGCGTCATGTTTTCCAAGGAACGAGATATCATTCCATTTATTGACTCACATTGGGAGGGAATGACCACAATGCCTCGTAGGGTGACTCAGTCATGGCACTCAACAGTGAGTTGTTTGCTGTTTTTTCAGTCTACCTTCTTAAGGGGAAAAAATGTCTAATAAGAATGTGATTATTGATATAATATTTTGCGCTGTTGGTGTTTGGGGAAAAAGGATATAGCAACTGTGACTGCAATCTTGTAATTCAGCTTTATTTACAAAAAAATATCATACTGTTACAAGCATTTTGTTTTTCAGATTCATCGAGCTCTGACAAAGGACGTCGGGACATTATTTGTCTGTGAAGAAGTTGCTAGTGATGGGAACCATCCTTTATTTGGGCTGTTGGCTCCTGACCTAACTCAAATCAAACCAAACTATGAGGCAATGATCCGCGGGGGCCACCTTAAAGTTACCGATATGGGCATTCAGCATGGTATGTGTCATCTGTCATTCATTTAGATTCTAACACCTGAAAATTATGTATACTGGATCCTTTTATGAGAATGAGTGACTCTTATCTCGTCTTAATTGACAATTTATTTTGCCGGAATGGCTACAAACATACACAGTCATATTTTCAAATTAATTTATGTCAAATTACAGTCTGTCTTTGGTGTAATTATACAAGTCTTGTACTTAAAAGTGGAAGATTCGTAGTGTGATGGAGGATGTCAATAACAATTTTATGTATGCAGTAAATTAACACCAAGTCCGTTAGCATGAAAACAGGAAAGAAAGCATTTGGAAAATGTGTATCTCATTGGAATTCATATGTATTATGTTGACTAAAATTAACTGCCATGTAATCAGTCTTCATTTTTTGTACCATTGCTTTTAACATTAATGTATTGATACCATACAAAAAAGATAAGATAGTGTGAATCATACAGATTAAAATCAGAACCAAATATTTTACATAGTGAACTTTGCCAGTTAGAAAATGATATCAGGCAGGTTGTGAAACGAGATATTTTATGCATCTCTTAGAATAAGATGGTTTTTGAAAGCTTAAGGATTTTTGAGTAGGATCTGAGGTTTTCACGGCAGCGTGTCCGAAGATGGCCGTCTTCTGGGTTGTAGCACGATGTAGTCTGGCAGAAGTTTATCATCATTTCAGAGGTCTTTGCTGTCTCCGTCTTCAGGGCGACGATTTCGTTGCTACATGGTGCTACAACCCAGAAGACAGTCATCTTATGGATTTTTCTCTGAATTTATTATTTTTTGTCAGGTGGTGTTAAGGGTCGCAGTACTAAGAGAAAGCTGCCGGGTGGTGATCAGGGTCCAGGGGCAGGAAAAAAGGGTCGAGGTGGTGGTGAGGTTACTGCCCCTAAGCTTCCTGCTCATGGGTACCCATTGGAGCATCCTTACAACAAGGATGGTTACCGTTACATCCTGGCTGAACCAGACCCGCACGCACCATTTCGACAAGTGAGCAAACAATCGAGCGTTCAAATGAAATGTTTTCTGATGCTTTGTTGCTATGTCACACTGTTTTCTGTCTGTTCTTCTTATGTGCTTATTACATGACGTGCTCAAAATTAATGTATATGGGGATGATTGTATCTGTTTGTTAATCTGTTTGTGTGCTTGTTTCATCAATGGACAGATCTTGACAAAATTTGGTATGGACACTGTGTCAGTGGAGGCTACCCAAAACTCATACGTCTTAATTTCCTACAATTGGTTATCCCAACATGGTGATGCATGAACATGTGAGGTGGCCATTTTAAGGGAGGGACCAAATGAGCTACTGTGCAGATCACCAGAATATTTTGACGTACTTTGGTAAAAATTGATTGTTTTAGGTGAATGTTACTTGGTGTAAGTTTAATTCTCATTAATGAATAAATATATAAAAACATTTGTATGAGTAAGATTTGAGGTTTTCACAGCGGTGAGTATGAAGATTTCTGTCTTCTGGGTTGTTGCGCTGTGTAGTCTGGTCGATGTTTACCAACGTTTCAGAGGTCAGACTGCCTCCGTCATCAGGGCGGTGAATACGTTGGTTAACATCGACCAGACTACACAGCGCAACAACCCAGAAGACAGAAATCTTCATTTGTATGAGTGTTCTGCGGTGCTGTGTTCAGTTGAATTTTCGTATATGATTAGCGTATTTCTGGAGCCCTGCTTTTTTATGTCTAATGTATCTTAATCACCGTGATTTACTGTGCCTCCGAAAGAAACTGTTGAGACGACTATTTTACGCATACTTTTGTAAATATAATAAAGCACTGTTTCCAACAGGAATTTGATGAAAGTAGTGACTGGGCTGGGAAACCAATACCAGGCTGGCTGTATCGCACCCTGAGTCCGAGCTCGGTCCTCCTGGCCTTGCATGATCGGGCTCCACAACTGCGAATCTCAGAGGACCGCCTTGCTGTGACTGGAGATAAGGGTTACTGTATGGTCAGAGCAACACACGGTGAGCTAAAATGTAAACCACGTGATGTGACAGTAATTTTAAGCATAGTATTGACAATGTTTCAACTTCTGAATGAACATAAAGATGGCTGTCTTGTGAGTTGTTGTGCTGTTGAGTCTGGTAGAAGTTTATCAATGTTTCAGAGATGCTTGCTGCCTCCATCATCAGGGTGATCCAAAATAAAAAGATGCTTGTGTATGCATGTAATTCCAAGCAGGCAGTGGGTTTTGTAAGAATTCTTTGTAGCATATTACCAGTTTGACACACAGCATGTTGTAAAATTTAAATTTTAGAAACTCTTTTATTTCTCTCTGATCTAATTATAGCAGCTAAAACATGTATACAGGACAGATGGTATGATGACTGGAAAGAATGACTTTTTTGCTGGATTACATTTGGTTCTGTTACTTGTACAAACATTTGAAGAGAAAACTTGTTCGTCGTTACAGCCGTAAGCCGAGGTTCTTGGTACTGGGAGGCCACTGTGGAAGAAATGCCAGAGTCCTCTGCAACACGACTTGGCTGGGCACAGGAATATGCTAATCTGCAAGCCCCTCTTGGTTATGATAAATTTGGATATTCTTGGAGATCTAGGTCAGTTAGTCAACCTCCTCACATGTTCATGCACTAGTGCAATGAATGAATACAATCATTACACTCACTGCAACTGAAACAGCTGCTTATTTTCTTACTTTCTAAGAAGAAAAGTGCTTTATATGAAAATATAAGTTCTCCAAACAGATAAGTTATATTTATTGTAGAACTCATCCACTGGGGATATTATATTTTAATATGACATGTTATTACTTCTAAACCACTATTTACATTTTGTTTAAATTTTGTGTTAGGGTTCTACACTAAATGTTCTTGGGCAGATTTAATATTTGATGATGTTCTCCTGGGGTTTGGTGCCATGTAGAATTGTAGGCGGATGCCAGCATTTTGGAGAAACGTACTGTCTCCATCATCTTTATTATTCTCAGTGACATGACCATATAAATCACTATTTTAATTTATTGGTACATTTAGATTACTGTGGCTATCTGCCCTTCCAGGTGGTATTAATCATTTTGATAGCTGCAAAACATTGCTGGATGTAATTAAAAAATATTTTATTTATAGTGCAAGAAGTATTGTTTGCTTATTGCGAAGTTTAGTCATGATTCTAAGGTATTTATTTTGAATTTTTTTTATTTAATCTCATGTAGATATTTTGATAAGAAATTAAGTAAGATGTATACAGTTAAATATAAGAGAACTTCTGTTTTTATGTGTCAGGAAGGGCACGCGGTTCCATGAATGTCGAGGAAAGCGTTATAATGCTGGCTATGGAGAAGGGGACACATTGGGCTTTCTCATTATGCTTCCAGAATCACCTCATATTAATTACATCCCTCACACGTATAAAGATAGGGTAAGTTATTTCTTTTTTCACCCTAGTTCCAACACAAAAGGCAGTAAATATGGCAGGGTGGTTGTTAATTTTTTACTTTTGTCAAACTGTATCTATTTGAAGGGGACTGCAGGTCAGAATGCTTAGAAATTGTTAAATGGCTATTGATTATTCCTACTGACAACATATTTTTCATTGCACGATGATGGAATATATTTTGTAAGATGGATGTTTGTCATACTACGGCCTGGTTTGTGGTACTCAGTAGATGGAGCCCCATGCTTCCTCCTCCTCTGTAGTCATGTCAGGGACATCGGTACACTCGTACCCAGTGTTCCATTAGACCAGTGGCTAGTACTTTTTTAGCCTCAATCTAAATGTATTAAAAATGTTTTAAATAAATGATTTCAGATATGAATAGATAATCTGCATTACTTTAGGAGAGAGCAAATTAAAAATATATTATTTTTGTACTTTGATCTTTGCACTTGTCTTAATATCTTTCTGTGCAGTAAAGATATGCTGTGTGAATTGTGGTAATACAAAGCCCCTGCTGGAAGGTGGGTCTGCCAACGGTACAATAAAACATTTATTCTTATCTGAGATTATGGTAGGAATTAGTACAATAAGTATGAATATGGTAGAAGAGAGGTGATAAGAACAATGTCAATATCACTGGTGGTACCAAGAACAGAATACAGCATGCGGAAAATACGAGTTGTAAATTTCTGATTGACTTTTTTCTTTCTTGCAGCCACTAGTGAAGTTCAAAAGCCATTTGTATTATGAAGAGAAAGATCGAGTTGCAGAAAGTCTTAAGGCATTGAAAGTTCTTTCGGGTAGTAAGCTGATTTTCTTCAAGAATGGAGTATGTCAAGGGGTTGCCTTCACTGACATGTATGGTGGACATTACTTCCCTACCCTCTCATTACACAAAAGTGCCACAGTGTCTGTCAATTTTGGCCCCAACTTCAAGTATCCGCCGTCGAACATGTCATTCCGAGGGGTGAGAAAGAAATTGATCACTTAGAATTTAACTTATTTTTAACTCTTTTAAAGAGCTTTACACACTTCTATACCTATCAGTTTTGTTTGTTTTCCTTCTGTTTGCATTTTGGAACTTCTTCTGTGCATGATGTAGATAACTGACTCTACTCTACTAACTAATAAAAATACTGCATGCAGTCTTCTCCCATGGAGAAAAGAATCGAAGCATTCGAAATGTCTTTATATCGACTTATACTATGAATACCCTGGGTGCAAAAAGTCGCTAACATCGAAGTTCTCAATTGCATGAATTAGCAAAAAGAACTACTGCTTGCCGTTAAGGAAAGAAAGGTCCGGTATTTGGGCCACATCATGAGAGGAGTACGCTATGAGATCCTAAGAATGTTCATCGAGGGCAAAATCCAAGGAAAAAGATCCGTCGGTAGACCCCAAAACTCCTGAAGATGGTTCGGATGCACCACAATAGACATCTTTCGAGCGGCAGTCTCGAGGACAATGTTCGCCATGTGGATCACCAACTTTTGTTCGGATGGCGCAATAAGAAGAAGATGCAGTCTTCTTAATTCTTTTTCTTATTTCCTCCTGAATTTTTCTGTTCCTGTCATTGCAAATTAAATAGCAGAAGCATTTACTTTTTCATGTTTTGATTTTCACAGTATACGTGTGTCTGTCTCATTTAACGTACTTTCCGTCTGTTCCAATTATGACACTTCCCTCCAGTCCTATTTTATATATTACTTACTCCTTCTGTTTGTTTGCATGTTTAACATTCTCTTACATCTGCTACAAAGTATAATGTCACATATTAAAACTATTGTTCATTTTATTATAAGGAAAGAAAGTGAAATGAAATGTCTTTTTGTAATTGCTAGATGTGTGAGAAGGCAGAGGAAGCTATCTGTGAGCAGACTATGGCTGACCTTCTGTACCTGACTGAAAACGAGGGAAAGTTACGTCTGGACACATACTGCATGTAGCACTCAGTCTGAATATTACAGGATCTTCAGCCTTGCTGTTTCTTGTACGTATTGATATGTAACACTTTCCGTAGAATATAAGAGTGAAGGAATATGGGGAATCAACAATATCATTCCAAAACTCAGGAATGATTTGAATAGTTTTAAGGGAATATGGCTTCCAGATATGGAGGGTAGCTGCAAATATATTGACTAAGCAGTAGTATATGTTCTTAAACCCTAGAAGAATTTGACCAATTCCTTCATGACTATACAGGTAGCCCTCGATTTGCACCGATTCAGAATAACGCCGATTCTGAAACCAGCAAGTCAAAAAGTGAAGAAAAAAAAATTGACCATTATTTATAACGTTTTACAATGTTTCTCGTACTGATTCTTATACTAAATCGCAATTCTTACGTTGCTGATTTTGAATAAAAATTATAAATACAGTCATCTCTGCAATTAGTATGTTTCGTTAACGCGAATTTGCTCCAATGAGATTGACGAATCGGTAAAAGCTGGTTATGAAATCCAAAACTTTTGCATATGCGAGTTTGCTCTTATGCAATTTCATTCCTGGCGATTTAAACTTTCAAAGGACTAATTTAATCTCTGCGGAGGTACCGGGGTTATTTTTACTACTTGATTTACTATAGGTTGGCGTCTTACATGAATGCGACTATCGCGTAACAGCAGAGATGACTATACACATCAGTCACGTGAAAGAATCGCAGTCAATCGCGGAGACCAACGAATTGCCGATTGTAAGTGTATAAAATATATTTTTTAAATTCCATTTATTTTATTTACATTATTTCAGAGCTTTAAATATAATGCCATTATATTACTCGTCAATGTTTGGGTGCTGGGAACGCATGTTATTGACTTCCCATTGATTTACATTATAAAAGAGTTTCAGTTTATGCCGGTTCATCCAGGAATGCATCCCTGGCGTAAATTGAGGGCTACCTGTATATATTATGAAACCTATTATTACTCAAACTCCATTAGCCAAGATACATGAACTTTGACACACTTTCAAAGGATTTATTAGTCACCCTAATATGATTTTGCCCTGCTGTCTGCTGACTGGACACTAACATGTACTTTGATTTTCTGAATTTACTTCTAGCCCCACCTTTCTACTAGCTTCAAGTAAAACTTGTGTGCTCCTCTTTATTGTATTTATATCATCATCAGCGTATGCCAATAGCTGATGTGTCCCATTCAATTGCAAACCCTCCTGCCTATCTTGGACTTTCCTGATGGCATATTCTAGCGCAAAGTTAAAGAGGAATGGGGACAAAGCATCTCTTTGTGTTAGACCATTCTTCATGGAAGATGAGTACCTATATGAATTTTGCTACAGGTTTCATTTAAGCACATCAATATACTAACCAGAGAAGCATGATTTCCAGCATTTCAGCAAACTTAGCAACTACAAGTTTGTTGAAGTGTTGCCATCTTCATATTCATATTTATAAGAAAGAAAATGAAAACGTGATTTAATACATGTCAGTAGTCAGAATGTAAATAACCTGTCCGCTGTTGCCTACGTTGCAGACTAGTGTCCAGTGTGGAGCTGCAATGTGCAAACAGTGGGTAAGTTGGTACAAACTACAGGGCTACTCAACATACATCTAACCTCTGCTGAATTTCTGTGCGCATCTGAGTTCTGCCTTGTCTAGACATCAACAGGGTGGCATGATATGCAAGATACAAGAAGAAAAAAACCTCCAGCAATTTATAGATACACAAAATGTATGTAAAGAATATAAAATAAAACAAATGCACTGATGTGTTATAAGAAGTGAAGTACCTGTTGTCAGAACAGTAACCGGGTTTATGGTACCAGTGGACCTCCAAATCCCAAATTTTTCCTAATGCAGATACCCATTATTTATTTCTACAACTGGTTAGCGATGATCTGAACATTTATTTCTGTCTAGTGCTGAGATCAAGAAGGTGTGGGTGGATCTTTCCCAATTTCATGAAATGGTGCTCTGGTACAGAGGTAATTTTATAACCACTAAAAGTTTCATAAATGCTATTAGCTTTTGCCACGACTGTCTGTCTATCATACTGGCTTCTATGAGGGTCACTGGTGGGTGTCTTGAGAATAGATTTCAGTACTGCAAAAGGCATTAGTCAGTCACAGGACTAATCTTTTATATGGAGGCCCGGTCATTGTGGAGTGAAATAATATATTTATAACACCACAATAGTGAGAGGAAAGACGAATGAGGTTTGTGGGAGCACTGCAGTACAGGATAAGGGCCACAGCTCACAATCATAGGAACAATAGGATAACTTTTCTGCACTTCCTAATTCCGAAGTTTATAGCATTTCAACAGATAAATTGTGAGCAAGGAATCATTACCAGTACATAGTTTCTATATACATAAGAAAAACTAACTGGAATCACTGTGTACAATGTGGGATTTGCCATTCATTTATTTGTAACTGTAACGTAACCATTAAATCCGATGATACAAATCGCCTGGGACACACAACGGGATTCTTTGTTTGTTTATTTTTTTAAAAAAACCCTTTGCAATGAAGCAAGCACATAGAAGTTGGAATCACAAAGTGGATTGCCTCATCAAGGAAGGAAAAACAACAAGAAAACAATTTGTATAATTTAACAGATCAGTGATGCGGCTATCATTAGTTAATAGTAATGACATCAATTGCTTGGGTTTTATTGAATGTTTAGGTTGCCATGACGTGATTCTTTTTCCATTTATATATTTTTAATTACGAATGTAGCATGAAGCACATTCTGTGGGTAGTTGCGTGTATCATGTCAGACAGTAGTGCCAATCCACCACAAATACACGTTATCCTACAGGTTTATTATTTTGTTTTTATAAATTAATGACTACTATTTATATGTGAGAAATATTAATAGGTATATTTTATTATACTTGAGTATTAGTATTTATAAACAAATTTATTAGTTTTATTTAGTTTGTTTTATTTATGTTAGAGCCTCTGCACGAAGAAAGTGCATTTATCCGCGAGGCATTGGCAGTTCTACAGTACTACGCGAGCTGTATCCGGTGCTTGTGATTGGCTAGCGAGAGTATTGATCCCCTCCCTTTTCCACTTCACCATTCGGTTTGCGGCGGCCAATGTAACAAGACACATTTACGGATGGAGCTTCACTGCAGAGCAAATTGCAAAATCAACTCTCTTATTCATGTGCACTTCATGTCATTGAGGTGAAAGTGGGTGGAAAAATAATACATCTCAGCAGTGTACAAAGTGAAAATAAAACATGCGTGGATGAAGCTGATGCGAGGACGATCGAGGTGATATTAAAAATCTTTCACCACCCCCACAACCCCACATTCGACTAAACGAGAACACGCATTGACATGTCAAACTGCGAGGAGATTACATCGGTGTCTCCACCGGAAGACGACTGCCTTAAGGTCCGGAAATGGTGGTGTTTCCTTTTGTCGAGTATCTTCACATTCTTTGCTGGTCTCACCATCGTCTTACTGTGGAGAGCCTTTGCGTTCCTCTGCTGTCGGAAGGAGCCCGAATTCTCACCAAATGACCCGAAACAGAAGGAGCAGAAAGCTGCCCGGCAGGGCAAACAGGAGTTCGAAGGCACGTTCATGACTGAGGCCAAGGACTGGGCCGGCGAACTCATCTCCGGGCAAACTACCACCGGCAGAATTCTGGTAAGTCCCACTTGACACCTGCCACTTATTTGCAGTTCGTACCGACTTGATATTTTCGCGATTCTTTGGCGTACGTGAGGTCCCACGTTCGAATTCGTGCCCGGAGACCAGTTTTTATTCCAAATTCTTCCCAGTCCTTCCACGTCGATTCTAGAACAGATACTAAAATAGGCTACGTCCGCATTCTTAAACAATAATTCTCAAAGAAAATGCTATTCTAATTCGAGTGTGTGGATAATTTACGATCTTGACGTTAAATAAAACGAATAAAGAAACAAATAGTTACATTATCGTGTTTCTAATCGGGATTAAAGTTACGTATGACTTACACGGAACATGTTTATTACAAAATGTTCTCAGGCGATCAGCGTCGATGGTGAATCAAATAGCAACATTTTGGAGACTCGGTCTGTCTCCATCTTGAGGGTAAGTAAAGATGGAGACAGAGCTAGTCTCTGAAATGTTGGCTTTTGACTCAACATCGACGCTGATCGCCTGAGAACATTTTATACCACAGTTAAGTTGCACTACAAAATAATTGTTTCAGTCGTTCAAAATTTTAAAAAAAAAATCTTATCCGAAAGATTTCTCATAAAAAAGATCGAACATTTCGTTACGATTCGTAACATTTATATTTAATATTTTACATTAACTTTATTATTTATTTGAATAAAAATTTCCTTGGATATCATCCATCGTCTAATAAAATATAAAACGTAAAAAGACGTTTCGGAGATGGGACTCTATCTCCGTCTTGAGGTTCCTACACAGTTGGGCCCACTAGATAGAGCTAATCCCTATATTATTTATCATTCGAAATGGAATTACGAGTGACAGGAAAGATCAACAACAAAATATTTAATAACTTAACTTACTTTACCCCATAATTTGTCACTGACTTAAGGTTTTTTAAGTCACGTATTACACGTAACAAATTTGTAACTAGAACATTCAACTACGTAACTAGTTCTGCTTAACTTAATTAACATTTATTTAATTACAACCAGCGCATAAAGGTTCTGACCCGTAAAATAGCGTTCTTGGACTTATAACGTGATTAAAAATACTATTCAAGATTCAGTCTGTCAGTATGTGATGTTGCATGACAGTTTTTATGACAAACGTAATGTAATAACTTTGAGGAGGTGAGATTGCTAACTTAAGTCGTCACTTGGAAGATGCTGTCTCGAAAATTGGACAGTCGATTGCAAAGTGTTTCACAGTTTTTTTTTACAGGTGATCTGATGTCGATTCTTTAAAATAACACTATATTTGGCTTGATAAAAATTCTCACGCTTTGGTTCCAGAATTTGCATTTATGAAGTTCAGATACACTTGTAAATTTGATTTCCCTCGTATTCGTCCAGCCTCGAAGTTTGTCTACGATTTGAGAGAGGACTATTCAGACGTCTGCGTCAAGGTGGGAGCTTTTGACGTCTCATTACACGACTTTCGTAAGATGTCACAAAAATTAAGCAATTTTTCTTAAATTTTCGTATCAGCGATATCTTTTCTGTTCCCTAAAAGATCGTAAGAGATGAATTTGTCCGACGTGCGATATAAAATACGGCCAGTTTTAAGTCTCTCCTCTGCTTTGACAATATCTTAACAGGTCGTGACTGATTTCTTTCACATTTCATGCAATTGATAATTGTAAAGTAATTTTCCGACCTCTCAGTGATATACGTAGACTTTGTATACTGTACAGTAGTTGAGAAAGCGTTGTTAAATAATTTAAGCTTTTGTTCTACGTTCTTCAGGTGTGCAAATTCTTTGAAACTTAGCCGATTTAACTCTTTCTTGCCGCCAGCAGACTTGTTGGAGTCATAGACGGCCTCTAGCCCCGTCTTTTTCGAGGCCTAGTTTGAATTTTATTAATCGATTTACGCTGTTACAAAGGACAGAAGTTGATGAAAATTAATTTTAGTTAGAATTTACAAATCGAAAAATCATGTTCTCATTATTACGTCTGCGGTCTGAAAGTTCAGGTTAAATGCATCAACAATATGATTTCTCTATTTATATTACGAGAACGGGCCTATATTAACTAATAAAATCCAGTGGTAACTATAAGTACCACCTGATTTAACTGTGCATTCTGATCACGGTGCTTATTTAAATGTTTACGATCCTTTGAATAAATAAAATATTTTCATAAACAACATTAATTAATTGATGTTTATTATGAATAAGCGTTTCTTTTGTGGTGGGAACTGAATAATTAAATGTCCCTTCGACGACCTTCGATTATTTTATTATTTATTTATTTTATTTAGTGTTCTGTCTGAGGACAGGTCCATATGAACAGGATCCTTCCATCCTTTTCTCGGACTGGGACCTGTTCATATACGTTCTTGGCAGATGATCCAGAAGTGGTTTGCCATTGCCTTCTTCTGTGTGTGAATGGAGTAATTGTTGGGATGCCACGGAGGAAAACTCCGTGATTATAACAAAATAAAATAAAAATCAATATGATGTTTCGTGTCTTCTTGGCTATCGCACATTTTCTTCTCGTAAAGTAAGTGCCCACTAGACCTAATAACTGAAACTATCGCTGAATCAGAAATGTCTTACTTTAAAAAAATGTAATCATGAACATTAAAGTTCAAATATATTAAGAAGAAAAGATAAATTTAAACCTGAAATAGATCTACTATGCTATTTACAGAATTTAACCCTTTGGAGCGGAAAGAATGAAAAGAGAAAGTGGACACTTTATTTAAAGGTGGAAAACAAAAACTGGTCTCGTTAATGCGTCTCTCCCGAAATTCATTTATTGATTTGGCTTCACGGCGTATGGCACAGTAGGTCAATTGAATGTACGGAGTGCATGAAGAGAAATGTCCATAGTAGTCCTTGCACTTGATAAAGGAAGCATCAGAATTATTTACGATGATCATACAATATTTAGATGTTCAGTTGTTAACACCGCCACCCACGCAGGTTTAAATCTAGACTTTCTGCATGTGTTGTTGAACTGTAATGTTTATGATTAAGGATTTTGGAGTATAACTCTTCCTGTTTCAGAGATATTTTTAGTTACTACAACTAATGGGCTGTTTCTTTAAGAGACGAAAATGTTTGATGGCAAAGCAGACACGAAGTGTCGTATTTATACACTCTCCAATTTTATATCCGTATTAGAATCATGGATATAGTAACATTTTATAATTCTGAAATAGAACACGTCAGTAGAGTGTCCGGCAGGTTTGTTGTTAGGAGACGGGAGTTCGATTCCAGGCCAGTTACGCTGCATAATTTTCCGTAGTCTCCGTCCGAACGTCGTGGTTGAGTTGGCTAAAAGTACGTTCAGTTATTCAAAAAAATCTCCTTCTGTTACTTCGTTCTGTGTTCGTTAGAGCCGACCACCGGTACCTCTGGATTTTGGGACAGGAAGTTGTCAGCTCTTCGCCCAAAAACCCCCAAGCTGGATCACCCATTTTTATTTGTCCGCGACCGCTTATATTCGCATCTATTAATACCTTTCATATCTGGAAGCTTTCTAATCCATTCGAAACGGAATACATGGCTCCATTCTGGACATAAATCTCAAAATGTGGATTTCGATTATTATTTTATCTATTTATGTACTAGAATTACATCATTTTACCTGTTATTATGTTTGAGAAAGTATTATTAATACCTTAACACTTCCGTGGGCCAGCCTGAGTCGTTTTGCGAGCCTTATTTTGCTTATTTGTAGTCAGAGAAACGAAGATAAGGGAAAACAGAGGAGTCTCGAGGGAAATCACGAAACTAAGAGAAACGTGCTGGCCTTAAAACAGATCTTTTCTGCTGCTAACAGAAAAACAGCCAATATTTACTCTTAATTTTAGGTAGCTTATATTACTACAGAATGAATCAAAAGACCTTGTGCGTCTGTAAGAATAAAAGAGTATTTCTAGTGGTCCAAAGAGTTCACCGTCAACGGTAAAACTTGTTGGCGGAAGGTAGTGGTCAAGACATACAGCCTCATGCAATACCTAGGGCGTGTATATAAAAAGGGACTTTTGAATCACCCTGTATCTCGTATTATTTGCTTATGTCCTGTGACGTCGAATGATGCATCTGGATTAATGTGAATTATGAATTGGTGTTAGGGACGTGACAGGAACTTTTCGTGGCCTGTTTTTTTAGATGTTAGACAAATGTGCTGAGAAATAATCTTTAAATGTCAGTGAATAGAGTAACCTTAGCCGGGTTTCGAACCGGATACCTCATAAATACGAGTCAGGATTTAATTAAACATGATGAAAGGGTTTGAACTGAATACTAGCAAGAACTATAGGTTACGTTTGGCCTAATTAAGGCGCTGGCATAAAGTCAGATGTATCCTTAACCAAGCTGTAGGCTACTCTTCTAACAAAAATGTTTATATGTTGTGGATATTCGTATGAAAATATTCTTTCTGAACGGATTGTAGTCGATTTCTTTCCAATTCCTTGCTTATTTCATTGTTTGATGACCGTGGAACTTATATTTAAAAATTCGTTTCGTACTTCAAAGACAGTATCACACTTCTTCACTATATGGATAACTGGTTAACGCTGTTTTAGAAAATAATCTTCGCTTATTTCGAGAATCATGTGAAACCCAAACGCTGTGGGTTATCTGCAGAATTATACAAGACTGAAGTAGGTGGTACATAGTTACAGGTGTCGCTGAGTTTAGCAGTGTTAAAGAATGTATGTAGGTGATGGTGTACTCCATTGAATAAAATTTTTGGATATTGTCCATCGTCTAGTAAATATAAAACGTAAAACGACGTTGCGGAGATGGGACTCTATCTCCGTCTTCAGGTTCTGAAGAGTCAATTGAATAAAAATTTTCTTGGATATTATCCATCGTCTAGTAAATATAAAACGTAAAACGACGTTTCGGAGATAGAGTCCCATCTCCGAAACGTCATTTTACGTTTTATATTTACTAGACGATGGACAATATCCAAAAATTTTATTAAATTGACTCTTCACCATCGTCAAGAAGTTTTAGATTTGGTG